GCATCTTACGGACTCGTCTTCTGGGCGAATTCCACGACGCACGACTTTCGGCACACCTTGGCGTGAACCGCACATTAGCACGCCTCCGCCAGTGTTTTCACTGGCCCGACGTCCTTCATGACGTCACGAGGTACATTTAGTCATGTGCAGTTTGCCACCGTAACAAGGGTCGATCTCGAGTCCCCTTCGACGAACTGAAACCGTTGTCGATTCCTCGGGCACCACGCCTCTCCATTGCTATGGACGTGACAGGCCCGTTTCCCCACGATCGCCATGGCCATGACGGTATTCTCACGGTCGTTGACCGTTTGAGCATGTATGCTCGCTTCCTTCCTTGCAAGTATCATGCTGCAGCGCTTGAGCTCACACGACTCTTGCACACCGGTTGGATTACCAACCAGGGTGTTCCGGAAGACATAGTGAGCGACCGAGATACTCGCTTCATGTCGGCCTTTTGGACTTCCCTCATGGCTGAGTCCGGTACGACAATGAAGCCGAGCTTGGCTTGGCACCCGCAGACGGATGGCCAGACGGAGCGAGCGCACCAGACCGCCCAGATGATGTTGCATACGCTCATCCGTCCCGACCAGAAAGATTGGGTTGACCGGCTTCCCGACATCGAGTTCGCCTATAACACTTCGGTGCACCCGGCGATCTGCGTCACACCATTCGAGTTACATCATGGTGGAGAGAAAGCACGGATCTTCGCTGATCTCCTTTTGCCACAGGCTGCCGACATAGACGTCCCTTGCTCTCCCGCTTCCGTTCAGAAGTACCTGGACTTGCTGATCAAAGCCCGCGCGAATATGCAAAAGGCTCAGATCCGCATGCAGCAGCAGGCTAACCGACGTCGACCTTCATGTCCTTTCCGCGAGGGAGACCTTGTTTGGGTCCTCTCCGAGGAATTTGGGCTCGAGCAGGACGTTTTGCGCAAACTCCTTCCGAAATGGTTTGGACCATGGGAAGTCACTTCTGCCGTTGGAGACGACCCCGCAGGTCCTTCCTTTGTGGTCAACATTCCTCCGCACCTTCTAGTGCACCGGGTCTTCCACGCGTCGAAGCTGGCTATCTACACTGCACCTTCCGCCGACGAGTTTCTCGGTCGTCGATCACAGGATCCGCCTTCTATGGACGGACATTAGGAAGTCGATCGAGTCATCATGCATCGCAAGTACGGCAACAAGCCAATGCAGTTCAAAGTCACATTCAAGCAATGTGCGCCTCATGACACTCGATGGATCTCCAGTACAGATTTGCAGACTTCTGCACCCCTTATCTTCGCCGAGTATGAGAAGCGACGCCTTGCTAAGGAAGCAGCTCGTCCCGCCCGACACACCTCGGTATCAGACAGACAACTTCGCCCTCGCAGGTAGCTCGGTCTTTTAAGAGGGGGAGTGTGTTACATCTTCGACGCCACACGGGTCCTACCGGACATATTAGGGCCTAAAGGCCGTAAAGGCCTTACCTTGGACCAGACCCGACGGGCAGGCCCAAACGACATTACCGTTTGGGCCTGGCGGCGCTCTTGAGGCTGTCGCCCGCCGGTTGGGGCTGAACCGTCCATCTTGACGGTTCAGGGCACGGCCAGGCCTCGCAGCATTGAGGCCGGCCTCTGCCCCACCGGTACAAAAATACCGGTCCAGCCTCATTGAGGCTATCGACCTACCGGCATTCTACCGGTACGGTACGGTACAGCGCGAAACAGCGCTGGCGCTATGTTTAGCGCAGGAGCGAGGAGCAGTGCAGCGCAGCATTAGCGCAGCAGCAGCGAGCGGAGCAGCAGCAGCAGCAACTGAGTGTATCGACGGCCATAGCCGCCTGAGGTATCGGGAGTTGGAGGCTTCTCTCCTCCCTCCCATCGCCAGTCCCCTCTCTCTCTCCCCTCCTCGGCTCCCTTCTTCTTCTTCTTCTCCTCAGATTCCATCTTCTTCTTCTTCTTCTTCTCCAGATTGGAGACTTATACTAGTTGGATAGAGATCAGGGTTGGACTTCGGTGGTATGAGATTGTGGTACTTACCGGATTGGAGACTTGGAAATTGTTGGGGTTGATAGTTGGCGGCATCACAGTTCGGACACCGGTTACATTTGGACTCTGTATCTCCGACATTGGTGACTGATTGTCCTCGGCATTTTGATCTTGTTGGATGACATTTTGGACTACCATATCGGTGACCTATCGGATTCTATCTCGGTGACCTATCGGTGTTGTCTACCTCCCCCACCTCCTTCGTCTCTCCTCCCACCTTTCATCTGTGTACGTGTGTACGGGATCTGGGCATCGTCTATGCTTGGCCCATACCCCACCATCTCATGATTGTATGTGTGTGGAGTGATACCTATGTGAGTCAGTCCGTTTATCAGACTTCCGCTGCATATATGCTCATCCTATATTGGTTGATCTTTGGTTCTACCCATCCTCATTGAAGTATGTAACACCCACTCGAGCGGCAGGCGATGGAGGATGAGAAGAGGATGGAGTGGAAGTTCTGATTAATGAGGAGAGAAAAAGGAGAATGGAGGCGGCGAGCGAGGCGGCAAAAGAATTGGAAGAGGTGAAGACGTAGAGATACCAGATGGCGACACAGTGGATCTATTGGGAAAGATGGAGATAATGGCGAGGAACATAGAGCGCGTGGCCCAGGTCCAGGAAGAACAATACTTGTTTCGTAGAGGTCAGGACATTGCCTTACGCTCTATACGGCTGGGGCTCCGGGATTTCGCCAGGGCATTGGCGACGAAGGTGGGCTCAGAGGTGAGGGCCCGCCTAAAGGGCACGAAACGTTATTGTACGGGTGCCATAGAAGGCGCCAGATTGACTGCCCCCAAGGAGGAGGAGGCATGTCCCCGTAGGGCGCCGGTCAAGGTCAAGTTCCCGGATTCCTATAGCGAGAAGAAGGAAGAAAATTTTGACAATTGGGAATCCAATGTCAAAACCTACGTCCATCTGCAGAAGGTCTCCCCGGACGAGCATGTCCTGATAGCTATCCATGCCCTTCGAGACGAAGCAGCAAGCTTCGCCCGTTCCTTGTACCGCGCTGCTAGCTACAATGATGATCTAGTCGCCTACTCTGCGTTCACTCCGCTCACTGACTTCCTTAAGTTATTAAGGGAATGGTTTGCAGGCGTCTCGCAAAGCGTCAAGGCCTCTGATAGGCTGCAAACCATCCACTCCCGCCAGTGGAAGAGTGCCAGGGCGCTCAAGGGCGTAATGGACGAGTTAGTCGCCATTCCGGACCATGGGGTCACAAAGACCCAGTTCGTCAACCTCTTCTACCGGGCTATGCTCGAACAATTACGAGGGCACTTCTTCGAGCCAGCAACCCACCATGACCTACGACGCATTGAGCAGGGAAGTGGTGGCGTTCGAGGCGAGGTCCATGTCAATTTCCACTTTATAGCATAAGGACCTGGACAAGGGCAAAAAGTGGAAGGGTCGCACCATCTCGGGTCAGGTCAAGACCAAGGATCGTTTGATCCTTACGTTAGATGAGGGTGGCGTCGACGAGGTCCCCTACGAGCAGATTGAGTGGGGACGAGAGGAGGAGGACAGTGGCGTTAGCCAGGGGAGGACTTACGCTACTGTCGCGACCGGAGGGAGGCCGCAAGGAGGAGGTAGAGGCCAGGGCCAAGGGGGCTGGGCCTCAGGGGGTCGTTCCCAAGGCGATCGGGGGTTGGTGGTAGAGGAGGAAACCGCCAAGCGGGAGGAAGGAGTCAAGGTCCCCCGCAAAACCATTCAGGGAATAGGTCGCCTAATAGGGGTAATAGATCACCCTATAGGAGAGGAGGATGGCACCCAAGTCTGCCACAGGGTAGGCCTTGGGAGGACTTGGGCCTGGACCAGCGCGTCTGGCAACAGCGTGTGGACCAGGGGCAGTGCATTTATTGCGGTGACCCTGGCCACATCATCAAATACTGTCCAAAGTACAGAGAGGCCCGAGGGGCTGCCCAGGGGTCAAAAGGCAGCCGCCGGTAGGGGTAGCAACAGTCCCAACCATCAGGCCATGTGGGGAAATGAGCGCGAGCCGCAGGAAACTCCCACACCACATGAGTCTATGGCAGAGGTTGCAGGCCGGTGCCTAGATAGCTGTCCAGAGACTGCTTGTGTTAGGGTCTCTCTAGGCACTTCCCTCACAGGCGTGGCTGATGAGCTGAAGGAGAGAATGCCCGGCTGGGCCAAAACGAAGAAGGAAAGTAGAGGACAACTAGTTTTAGTAGATGTAGAAATTTTTAGAGGTAAGAGTAGGGGACCTAGTAGACAGTGGGGCCACGCGAAACTATATCAGTAGAAAGGCGCTGTAGAAGTTGAAGTTGGGGCTGAAAGTCCAGAAGTTAGCAGACCCCATAGTGAGTGTCCTCACAGACAATCGCACGATGCAAGTAGAGGATTATGTAGAGGGAGTCCACGCGTACTTTCGCCTAGAGAAAGATGGAAAAGTGGAGAAAGTTCTCCATTCCCTGACTCTCCTCATAGAGGACAACCTTCCTTTTGACATAGTCCTAGGAACAGATAGGGAAGAGGCAGCCGCGGCCACACTCCATTTGAGAGAGCACGTGTAGGCTCCCTAGTCCGTCAGGCGGGGTCAAAACTGCCCGTTTGTTCCACGTGTCAGGAGTAGATAACTCCCTGGCACACTGCTGCCTTAGCGCTCCTGCGTTTGCAAGATTAGTGAAGGAGCAGCTAGAAGAACAGGTCTTTGTAGCCTATGTCAGGCCAGTTACTGAGCCTAAAAAGGAAAGCCCATAGATCCCGCAATTGCCAAGTTGCTGGAAGAGTATGTAGATTTAGCTAAGCCGCCTACGGGAGTAGTCCCGCGACCCATCCAACACCACATTGAGGTAGAGCCTGCCAGTAGGACTCCTAAAGGAGCAGTGTATAGGATGTCCCTGCTGGAGTTGGAGGAGCTGCGCAAGCAATTAGACGAGCTCCTAGAGAAGGGTTGGATTAGGCCCAATTCGTCTCCATTTGGAGCACCTGTTCTGTTTGTCCCCAAGAAGGAGGGAGAGCTCAGAATGTGTATAGACTAGGGTCTCAATGCTATCACCGTGAAGAATGCAGAGCCTCTGCCCCGTATAGATGATCTTTTAGATCAGGTGCACGGTTGCAAGTATTTTTCGAAGATAGATCTGAAGTCCGAATATCATCAGATAGAGGTCCATCCTAATGATCAGTATAAGACCGCGTTTCGGGCTAGATATGGGCACTACGAGTTCTTAGTCATGCCCTTTGGACTAACCAACGCGCCAGCGACTTTTCAGCGTTGTATGAATGACTTGTTTAGGCCGTGGTTAGACAAATTTCTAGTAGTCTACTTAGATGATATTCTAGTGTTCAGTAGGACCCTCCAGGAGCATGAGGGTCATCTAAGGCAGGTCTTGGAGAAGCTAAGAGGGGCTAACTTCAAGATCAACGCAAAGAAGTGTGAATGGGCAAAGACCCAAGTTCTGTATTTAGGCCATGTCTTAGACGGAGACGGCATCAAACCAGAAGATAATAAGATTGCAACGATTAGAGATTGCCCTACACCCCGCACGTTGACAGAGTTGCGGTCGTTCCTAGGCCTAGCTAATTATTACAGGAAGTTTGTGAGGAACTTCTCCACCATCGCTGCTCCCCTTCGCAGGTTGTCGAAGAAAGAAGCGATCTGGAAGTGGGACAAGGACTACACGCCTGCCATGAAGAAGTTAAAGCAGGCGTTGATAGAGTACCCAGTCCTCAAAGTAGCCGATCCGTCCTTACCTTTCGTCGTCACTACTGACGCGAGCCAGTACGGTATAGGTGTTTTGTTACAGCAAAACGATGGCAATGGGTATAGGCCCGTAGAGTTCATGTATGCCAGAATGCCTTCGGAGAAGGTCAC